CGGTGGGCAGACGAACTCGAAGGAGTCCTTTGGTCTCATCGGACAACTCCCCGCCGAGCCACCGGGGAAACTCCATTCGCTCTGGTCTACGGATCGGAGTGCATAATTCCCCCCGAGGTGGATTTCCCAGGTATTCGACCTAATCAACGAAAAGCGCGACCAAGCCCTAGTTCGAATCCAGAACTACCAACAAGCAACGGCCCGATACTACAACAAAAACGTTCGTAGCCGAAGATTCAAAGAAGGGGAGCTCGTCCTCCGAAAGGTCTTCCAAAACACTGCCGAGAAGAACGCAGGAAAGCTCGGAGCAAATTGGGAAGGTCCTTACAAGATCACCAAAGTGGTTCGTCCGGGAGTCTACGAACTCGCGACACTAGCTGACGAGGCGATTCCAAGATCATGGAACGCAATGCATCTGAAGAAATACTATCACTAAGGATACAGCACGACCAGCATGAACTACGGGACGGCTTGATCCCTGCAAAGGGTACGTAGGCAGCCCGTCTTCGGACGGGTTCAACTGTCCCCCCTCCTAAAAATGGGGGGGGGGAATAGGTACGTGTACACATACCTCATTTAACTCTATTATTTTGACTTACCCATTTAGGAACGTCGCCACTTCGGCATAATCTCAGTTCGTTTTTAATCATCTACTTATTTCACTTTTGCCCTTGATTTCTGGTTCAATTATTATCGCTTCGGCTAGCTTCACATTGTAACAAGCTCGGATTTTTAAATTTTATCACTCATCACTTCGGCAAGTAATCATACCACTTCGGCATGATATCATGACCTGATTACCTCGGACCTTAATCGGTCCTCAGTTTCAGTTCGGCAAACTAAGCCTCCGAACGCCTCGTCTCGTTGCTGGCCACAACGGGGCAACAAGTACAAAGTTCTCTAAACGGACTTTTACCACCTTTCCTAGGACGAGGGTGCAAGTTACATCCTCTACGAATAAAAATTAAGCGCGCTATACAAATATCAGACCAAAAACGTATCTGGTCGCCACGGTTTACTATCGCACACGAGAATATAAGTCGAGACTACATCGCTTTCTCTAAAACCGAAGTAAACTCTTAAAACCCGGACAAACATACTCATCCTCTCGGAAACACCGGTTCAATGACACTTCATCCTTGGCTAAACAAAAACAAAACGCCTCGTCGTTTACACGGCTCGGCATAACCATCATCAAATCGCTTCGTCCCTGATTCGCCTCGGCATCCTCGGCATTCCTTGGAAACACCTCGGCACTTACACTCCTAAAACATGAATCTGGGCTCATGTCGTAACAGCTCGGCTCGATGGTTTATCTCGTGGTCAAGAGTAATGTACCTCGTCATTCTCGACTCCGAGATTGACGAACTAGGGGGCTAACTGTTGGGGTCGGTTTCCACCCCACACAGATAAAACCATCCCAATATAACTAAGTATAGAAAATGGGAGAGCCGTGGCCATCAAATGGGAGAGCCGTTCTCACCAAGGCAAGAAGGAGAGCCGTTTCCACCAAGAAAGGCGGGAGAGCCGCGATCGCCAAGTGGGAGAGCCGAGAAGAAGGAGATGGGCCGAGCCGTATAACATAAAATGGACCGAGCCCCTGTCTTAAACACTTGGGCCGAGCCGTGCCGCGGTGAGGTGGAGCGAATCATGTCAAGCGGGCCGAGCCGTGGAGAAATTAGGCGGGCCGAGCCGTAACGAAGGCAATATGGGTCGAGCCGTAAAGAAGCATGATGGGCCGAACCGAAGCCTTGAGAGGTGAAGCCCACGGAAAACCCTAGGCGAGATGCAAAGGCGGTCAGCCGCACGAGGCGATAAGGAAATATTCCGAAAATCTCGCCCGAGATTTTCGGCTAGGCGGTTTAGAAAGTCAGTATAAATATATGATGTATGTAATTCATTCCGCCAACTTTTGCAACCCTAAGCAATAAGAGCTAAACACTTTTACAGTAAGAAAAGCTTTCTTTTGATCTTACTGTTTTTGGCGATAAACCCTAGAAGTTTCCGATCCCTTAGTTTTCCTTACAAATCTTTGGTTGTGCGACTCACACACCGTCTACGCATAGGGTCGGGTGGGAGATTATCCTCCAGTTTAGGCATGCTGTCTGAATCAGAATCAGGTGGAATCTCCTCGGCCTGGTTGCGCACGTTCCTCCGAGCTTGAGGCAGCACATGATTCAGTGCTCGGTGAGCTGGTGGCTCGAGTCTTGCGACATGTTCACGCGTATCTCTCAATTCTTCTCTCATGGTGGCTAGCATGGCCATGAGCTCGTTGTGTTGTTGTCCATTGGCATGAGCAGGTGCGGCGTTCTCGGTGTTATCTCCCATGTTTTCTTGAAATCTCACAAAAACAACAACTCGTCAAAGTATCAAATGTAAAATAACGTTTTAAATGCAAGAGATATCTAAGATTCTAAAAAAAAAAAATTTTGAGTTTTCTATTTTAATGTAAACGAAAATGCAATAATACGAGATGAGATGAAACAAAACGAATTCGATAAATGTTTTTTTTCTTAGGCGAAAAGAAACAAACACAATGAACTAATACCCTAGCTAATTTTTTTTTTAACTTTTCTCTTAGAATAACTAACCAATCTAACAACCTATGAATGCGGAAACAAGAAATATTTAAAAGGATAAGTGTAAGAAAACCGAAAGCAGAACTTTCGGCTCAGATACCAGATGATGTAAGAACCAAGGGGTTCTCACAGGAGACTAGGTGGTGGAGAGACAAAGCAGGCGGTCGCCCTCTCTTTGGCTCGGTGAATGATCGATAGATGGGGATCTGACACGCAGGTGGTCGCCCTCTCGTGTGGGATCAAGAGATGGTGTGTTGGCAGAGTGAATACACGACACAGAGGGGAGGTTACTCTCTGATACGGTGCAGGGGTTCACGCTTGCTTGAATCTCACAAGAAAGAAATGAACAGGATGAGAAGCCGCTTCTCAGAAACTTTGAAGAAAGTTCGTTCTTTTATTGATAATGGGAAAAAGGTTGGTGACTACAAAGCTGCGTGTGGGACTTTATAAATAGTCTGTCAGCTTGAACCTTCTAGGGTTCGACTCAAAACGATAGGACTTTGAAAGAAAATAACAAGAAACAAACCTAGTCTACGAAATCATAAACTCATCGTTTCATTTAATACAAAAATGGAAAGTTTGCTTAAGACTCTTTAAACTAAACTACTGACGTCGTTTTGATGTAGTACTTAGCCGTTGTGGAGGCTGAGATCACCTGCAAGGAAAATATAATAATTGAAAAGCTTACTTTGGTGTGAAGGGTTCCGGTTGGCCGCTTGTGTGGTTGTGGTGGCCGAGCTTGAAGCTGTGGCGTATCTGGCGTGGAACCTTCTTGTAAATTCTTCTAAGTGCTTCTCCAATGTGTCTAAATCCTTGTCTTCAAGTCCCCAAGTTTTTTGTTGCTCCGTCCTAGTTTCTTGGTCTTCTTGGCCTTTCTCGGGTCCGGGTGGTGTGTTGTGAAGCAGCTCCAAATCTGCTCGTTCGTGGGGCAAGATTCCACATTCGTTAGCTTCAGAATATGGACTTAGACGAGAGATCTTACCTTTATTGGAGGTTTCCAAGTCGTCTGGTGGTTCTAGCCCGGATGTCTTTAAATCATCGGCTAAATCTTGCATGGTCTCGGCAATCTCGTTACTCGGGCAAACTTGTTTTTGTCTCGAGCGTTGGATTCAGCTGGTGATTTTCGTCGAGCGATATCAGTTTCAGTACGACAAATTTTATCGCCAACTTGGTCTGGCCGAGGTGGTACTGATTTCTCAGCTAAAATCTCTCGCGTCTCGGCCAAAGTTTCTCGCGTATCAGCTATTTTTGAATCATCCCTTAGTTCTTCAAGTTTTAAGCCTGAAAATGAAATTCTGCTCGGACTGTTAGCATTTAAATCAAAAATTTGTCAAGAGATACCCATTTTGGTCTGAGAGACTTGATCGTCTGGTGGGTCATACCTGGATCCCAAGTATTCGGTCCCGGTTTGGCTGCAAATCTCGTTTAAGCCGTATATGACATTTAGGTCGAGCAACAACGGGTCGTCTGGTTCTAGTGAGTTGATAAAGATGTGTAAAGCCCTCTTATATCTATTTCTAAGTTGTTTAATCTTGGAGCGTGTTATGGCCCCGTCTTGGACTCGTGGCATTAGCTCCGGTAAGGTCTTTGGATGGATGTCCATATCAGTTAGGTTTTTAAATTAACTCCTATTTGCAACTACGTTGAAATTATTTTCTAGTATAAGCCCTAAATCGTCTTCTTCTTCGTCTTCAAAAACTTGAACCTTAATCTGTCATTGAAGGATCGTGGACATCACTCTTCAGCTTTATATTTTCCTGTAATCCTACCCTAGCGCAATAAAATCGTGTGCCCTCTTTGATTTTTTGGAATTCCTGTTTTCATTTTTGTTTCTGAATTGAATTTGAATGCTTGAATATTTTTCCTAACCGAACCAATAAAAGCCCGACCCAATTAAACCAGCCTACAGTATTTCGCTTTTTTTTTATCTGAGATTTAATTAGGTCCAAAGATTAGTTCCATTTTTTTTTTTTTTTGAGAAAGAAGATTAGTTCTACTTTAAATGAGTTTCGATGGATATGTATATTATAAGTTTGAGGTGAATCTGGAATGATCTCAATTCTCAACGAATGAGATAGTGATTATTTTGAACTCGACTATCTTATTGAGGATTATTCATTTATGTACGTGTATTAGCATAAGAGTACGTTCATATATGAGAGAGACGACTATAAAGGGTATGTATAAGAAATCATGCATGTAGGCAAAAGAAAATGACATCAACAAAGCTTTAAATAGACGCTTTAATTGTTCAAATTTCAAAGGTCCTTTTTTTTTGGTAAACGGCTTGCTTGAATAAATTAAATAATGTAGATTACAGGAACCAGATGAAACCACTCATCTTTTACAAAATAAGAGAAGGGAAGAAGAAAAAGAAAGAGGAGGAAAGAGGTAGAACAGACACGAACTGGAATCCGCCAACTAGGGGGGAGAAGACCAGCAAAGAAGAAGGGAGACGTAGTCTGAGTTCCGAGAACAAAGGCTTTGGGCCCTTATGCGAACCACACTCCGAACGAGATGGAAGATCTTTGTCGGAGAGAAAGAGATGCCGTCATGAAATCTGCGATTTCTTTCGCGCCAGATCTCATAGATGCAAGCCTGCCAGGCCTGCAGAAGCGCAAGACGCATGAACTTGTCGTTTGAAGCTCCAGGGAGCCAAAGAAGAATAGAATTCCAGGAGGTAGGAGGCGTAGGAAAATGAAGCAAAGCCAGAACCATACGCCAAACCTCAGCCGAGAAAACACATTGGAAGAAAGATGGTCTCGACATTCATCAAGATCACCACACAGAAGACAAGTCTGTTCTACATCACAACCCCACCTCAGAAGACGATCCAGAGTAGGGTTCCGATCAAGAACAAAGAGCCAAGTAGAAAACGCATGCTTGTGAATTCTAGCTTTATGCCAAACGAGCCCATCTAAATTTCAAAGGTCCTCGTACGTAGATTGTATTATTGTTAGTTTTATGTATGCTTAGTTTATGGAAATGGAAATGCAATGCTGAGTATATTTTTAGTATTCATTTGCTAAATCATACTGATGATTATAAATATATAACAATAAACTAAAGTTTTTCTTCTTTCAAAATAATTTGGTGACTTCAAGACAATTAAAGTCTTTGCTTTTTTGAGCTTTTTAAAGACCAATATAAGTTTTTAAGATTTTTTTTTGTTAATTAAACATTGTACTGACAAATATCTGTTTTCCAATTGTTGGGGGCCGATTGGGACAAGGAGTAAATGTGGAAAACAAAAATCAATTTTCCAATTATTTTTATTTCTTTTGAACCTTTGAACCTTTTGGATGAAAAAAACATTAATTGTGGAACTAATGCTTACAAGATGGTTTCCTACGCCATGCAAAAAAATAGTAATTTTTTTAGAAAACATAATAATTCAATGAATATTATGTATTTAGGGGATTTTCCCTCTTGTAAAACGAGAAATTGCTTCAAGACCCAAAAAATACTATGAGAACGTGTTTTTTTGAAGGCTCTTCGACGTTCAAGTCAGAAAACAACAAAAAACCACCTAGTAACTAATCGGAGAGCAGAAAGAGGTTGAAAATCGAGTGGAAATGAAAGTGGGCCGAGAACTCCTGAAGAAAGGTAGAGTCTGCTGGGGCCTTTGATGGTAATGAGCTTTTTGAGGTGGAAAAGAGAAGAAAGTGAAAGAGTTTTGGGTTTCGAGTTTAGGGTTTAGGATTTAAAAACCGCCATGGAGAGGAAAGGAAGAGAAAGTTTAAGTGGCCGGAAAGATGGCTGGAAAAGTGTATATTGCTTGAACTCAAAAACCACAAGTATCTATAGAGATATTGTTAATCTTTAGATGGCTAAGAGAGGGAACCCCTTTCTTGTAGGAAAGGGCAAAATATTTATAAAGAGTTACTTGACTCGGGTTCATATACTGGATCGGTCTATGGATAGTGGATCAGGTGAGTCGGCCCAAGGCCCAACTTGGTTGGGCTCGAATCTTGTGCTTCCGCCATGCTTTTGACGGTCTCACCAACTTTTCTTGGCTTGTTCTGTCTGCTGTGAGACCGTCTTTTGGCACGTCTCTTTTGGCACGTCTCTTTCGTTCTCAGTGTACGAGTTAGATCAGCGGTTCAGACGCGGGTATGGCTCTCGCTGAACCTCTGCTTTTCCCTCTGGCCATTGCGAAAGGTCACTACCACCTGACACGTTGATGTGATACTGAGCAGCATCAAGAAAGGAGAGCTTGAACCAGAGCATGGAGTTAAAGATCAGTTTGTAGCCGAGGGAGATTTGTCTGTAAACAAAGAGCTAAGGCTAATAAGTTCAAGGAAGACATTGGCGCGGTACCTACTTATCTATGGAACAAAGAAGATCGCTTGAGCCAGGCTGGAGAAGATGGATTACAAACCACACTGGTTTTAATTCAAGCTCAAGTAGATCAACAATTGGGTAAGTGGCTCAGTTATACTCTTCTTCCCTTACCTTTGGTTTTGTCCCAATGGATTTTCCAAATGAAGGTTTTTAAAGAGGCAATGGTGTCTACTTCTCTCAAGGCCCAATTGTTGATTCAAGAACTCAAGCCTAAGACAAATTTTGACCAAGAAGTGGAAGGGGCATGGCATGAAGTAGTCTAAGAGTTATTCAAACCCTTGCATTTATTTCCTTGTAATTTTTGAGTTTGACTAGGTTTTATTCATCTTTTCTCTTTAAATAAGCTTGTAATCTCTTATGAGAACTCATCCTAGATTGGATCATCAAACTTTTCTCAAATAAAACTCTCTCTTTCTCTTATCAAATCTGGACAAAATTCTCTTGTCTCTTTGAGAGCGATTCGCTGCTTGTGCAGCATCTTTATCATCTCTTTACTCTCTATCTTCTCTTGAGAGTGAATTGCTGCTTCTGCAGCACATTTTTATTTCTCTTCTTTCTCTTGTGATCAAATTATACTCTAAACATCAACCTAATCTATTCATCTCTTCAAACAGAAGTCTATTCCACAAACTTCTGTCTCTATTCTATCTCTTACCAAGCTTCTGAGTGCCGATCCGTGGGAGAATCACATCAAGTGGTATCAGAGCACACTTAGAAGTTTCTTTGGAGTCTCTATCCTTTCTCATCTATTCATCTTCTTAATTTTGTGTCTGCATCTATTGATCTTCTTAATTTCGTGTCTGCATCTGTTCATCTTCTATTTTCGTTTTTGTTCTCTACAGAAAAAGAAAACCCATAAAAATTGCTTTAGATCTGTTTAGTTTGCATCATTTTTGCATAGATCTAAGTGTTCCTCACCTGTTGTGTCTCAAAAATTCATCTGTTATCATTTTGTCTCTTCAACTTCTATCATCAGATCTCATCATCGGCCATATCTGTGTTTGTTTAAAAATAAACCGATCATATTCTAGGGCTTTTGATTTCTTGTGGCACACGAAGAGTCACTTTTGCATTTTTGATTTATTTTGACAACTTGTTACTGGTTTTGTTTTCTGTTTTGTTTTTCAGGTCACAATGAGTGAAGAGCAAGGAGACAACAGCAACAAACTCTTTATGGAAGCTATGATGGCTCGGTTGGAGCAACTGATGAAGCACACAAGCAGAAGAACTACATCAGCGAATTGATCAACTACAAGGAGAGCCTAATCCAAGGGGAATTCAAGATAGAAATACCAATGGAGTTCGTGTTCAGCAGAGACAGCCTAGAAATGACGTTGGTGATGATACCTCTTCTCAAGGCAGTCCAAGACGTGGAAGAAGAGCAAGGGAACATGTTGATGATGACATGAGAGGCATGAAGCTAAAATTTCCTTCTTTTATGGCAAAAAAGATCCAGACGCTTACCTGGAATGGGAAAAGAAGATCAAGATAATCTATGAGTGTCAAAAGTATTCAGACCTCAATATGGTGAAGCTACCTGCTACAGAGTTTTATGGCTATGCTATAAACTGGTGGGATCAGATTACAACAAGCCACAAACGCAATAGAGAGCCGCCAGTTGATACTTGTGATGAGTTGAAAGAATTCATGAGGAAACGCTTTGTTCCTAGTCACTATCACAGAGAGCTACACAAGAAACTTAGGCACTAGACTCAAGGAAACAGTAGTGTAGAAGATTATTTTCAAGAAATCGAATCTCCGATGATCAAAGCTGATATTGAAGAAGATGAAGAAGCAACCATACCTAGGTTTTTGAGTGGGTTAAACCGAATAGTTCAAGATAGAGTGGAGATGCAAAGCTATGCTGACCTAGAGGAGATATACCACAAAGCCATTCTGGTCAAACACCAGCTCAAGAGGAGAGGATCTCGATCAACTTTTGGAGTTGGTTCATCTACAGTTAGACCAAGCTTTGCCAAAGAAGAAAAACCAAGTACTGAGCATGTGGTGTCTTCTAAATCATTCTCTATTAAACCAGACTTCAAGGTCGAAACCGAAACATCAACTACTAGAGCTCGTGAGATAGTCTACTTCAAGTGTCAAGGAAGAGGACACATTGCTAGTGAATATCTAAAAAAGAAAGTTCTGATTCTCTTAAACAATGGTGAGTATGAATCGGCAGATGAAAAAGAGATCTCAGATTTATTGGAAGAGCAAGAGGAGTATGCTGCTACAGGAGATCTTTTGATGATGAAAAAGATACTAAACATGCAAGCTAAGGTAGAGGAGGAAGCACAAAGACAGAACCTGTTTCACACAAGATATCATGTGCAAGGCAAGATGTGCAATCTCATCATCAATGGAGGAAGCTGCACCAAAGTAGCAAGTGAATACATGGTTAATAAGCTTGGCTTGACCGTGAAGAATCATCCCAAGCCATACAATCTGCATTGGCTCAATGATAAAGGTGAAATGCGAGTGAACAGCCAAGTAACGGTTTCTCTAACCCTTGAAAAATATGAGGACGAAATTCTGTGTGATTTTCTACCTATGGAGGCCAGTCACATTCTATTGGGAAGGCCATGGCAGTATGATAGACAAGTGACTCATGATGGCTCTACCAACATGTATTCTTTTGAGTTCAAAGGCAGGAAGCACACTCTTGTTCCAATGACACCTTTCGAGATTTATCAAGATCAAAAGAAGAAAGGAAAACAGGCTAAAAACAACACCTACAAGCAATCAAACTTCTATGCCAAATCTGTG